ATTTGGGTCAGCCACTAATTGGTCATTGAGTCATCACCAGAACACTTTAGGGAACAAACAACACAGTGCTGGGGAAGTAATAACAGCATAAATGGTACATTACTCTGTTACCCAGTGAAACGGGGAATTCTGTGCACATCCAGGCTTACAACGATTTCATCTTTTGGATTACAGCAGGATTTGGCTGTGTAGTGAAACAGGTTCTATATACAGTACAGGAAGGCTTTGGATGCAATTGGGTGGTCCAAGATAGTCCATGCCCTGAACATTTTGCAGTACACTGAGTGCATAACAGATGGCGTAACCTGTAAAGGAACCTGCGATGTAAGGTATTCTTCAGTGACATTCTTCACAAGTAAGAGAAGAGGGATTTCTTCTTGTAGAAACCATACGAATGGGCACTCTGTAGTAATTGGGGAGCTGCTGTTACATTCAACTAGAAATATTTGTAAGTGGTGTTATTTTGTCGTCGCAAACTGGGGGCAGTTGTCTCTGACCTGGAACTGACATAGTTGAGGGGATGAAGGAACAATTGCTTTGCTAGTACTGTATGTGCCCCCTAGTGGTATTTTTGCTCCTCTTCCTCTTACGACACAGCGTAAGATTTACTTTGTTTACTGCTGACGATAGTCAGTGTGTCACAGAGTCACAGTGAGAAACATGTAACTGGAGATTACAAGCCAGAAATGGACATTAAAGGGAGAAGTAAAAGATTTAAATATTCCAACTTTAATATTTTTTCCATGACTACAAATATCCATGCATATTCTTGTAACAATCATCTTCTCTTTAGAAATTCAAAGGTCAGCTTTCTCAGCTCATGCTGGAGTGTCCCCAGATGATGCAGAATTAGCTGATTATCAGTAATACTGTCTCTGAAAAGCCTCCTGGCAGCACAGAGGGTGCTAGGGCACAAGGAAGGGTTTGAGGGGATGCATTTGGAACTGTTGCCATCCTGTTGCTAACCCAGTCAGTCAGCCATGCCTTGTGCATTCTGGATCCGCCTGTAGTCTGCTCAAACTCAGTGTGGTTTAGAGGACTAAGAAGGACACACAGAAGTAACCATCTTTAACTGAGCCCTCCTCCTGCGGGAGCCTGGCTTTGCCAAAGGATCCTGGAGCATAACTGTAGGCAGACTACTGAATATTGAATACTGCTCAGTAAAGAAGGCTAGTGGTATATTGCTAAGTACCACTTTAGACCTCAAAATTGGGGTTAAAAGAGTGTCAGTAGGTTCCTGGTAGGTCTTTTATGCTTTACTACGCTTTGCCTGTCTGTAGTTCTAAACAACATATGCCAAAGTATCAGATTTCCAATGGTTCAGTAAAGCTTTTATACACAGTTGATAGTTTCAATTACTTAAAATTCTAGCATCTCAGTCTCAGACTCTGCTTGTGTGGTGTGTTTGGGGTGTTTTGTTTTGTTTGCTTCCTGCCCTTTTGTGGATTTTTGGCCAAATAATACAAAATTTATTGGCTGTATTAGAAGGCTCAGGATACAATTTCATAATAAAGCCTATATAGCTTGGAATGTCATTTTTGCCCCTCCCCTCTCCCCCTTAGTAAAAGGTAACCTTATTCCTGCCTCTCCCCCACCCCCCCTTAAAAGAAGAATATAGCTGTCTGCTATCTGAAGTCATATTTGTAAAATAGCCTGTCATGCTGACTGGTGTTGTGATACATTTATATAATGAGAGGTTTCATATCAAAGCCGAAATGTAAGGAGGGTGAAGTGGTGTTGCCTTGGCAACCTCTGAATCTTGTGGTCTTTGTGGTATAAATCAAACGCTAATCAAGGACCCGATTCGGTATTCTTTATGTATTCAAAATACCTATTGACTACAGTATGAGGTTTGAATGGGAAGGGAAAACAAGAACACCAATTGGTTATATTAATAATGTTTGCCCTGTATGTTTTGGAAGAACAAGAGAAAAATGACATAGATTATAACCACAGTGCTAAATTCAGTGAGTCCAGGTTTATGCACAAGAAGGGTCCCCAACATGTCACTGCAAGTGCGTTTTCACTTGGGATTTGTGTGCAAAATGCTGTTACTTGAATGCCTGGCATCTTTGTGTACTATACTTTGAGGTTTTTCTTACACTTGATCAAGAAAACGGTTAAACAATAACGCATGTGTTTGAAGAGTAATGGTAGAGACCCATTTCTGTGAACTTTGCTTACATGAATAATTTTTATGGTAACAAGTAGCCTACTGACTGTACCTAGCTAGCTCTGTTTGACATGAGTTTCTGTGGAGGGCCACATCAAACGACAGGAAAATCAATGGTAAGATTTACACAGAAGTATATGGGAGTTAGATTGACTAAATCATTGTGACTGACAGATTTGGAGCTGTTCATCGGTCATTTGTGAATACTGTGTGTTGATCTAATTGTTTCTGATCCCATGTGCTTTCTTCTTGCATT